CTCTCTCTCTCTCTCTCTCTCTCTCTCTCTCTCTCTCTCTCTGTGTGTATCCATGCCTTGGCTTTAGAAAAAAACACCTCTTCACTTCATCTGTATCGGAGGTGGTTTTGAGGCTAAATACAGATATTGCAGAGAAATCACCCATGCATACCCCTTAGTCGAATTGATTACCAACCGTCCAGATGAAGATCACAGTGCAAACGGTCGAAAATCGAGCCCCGTCCCATTTCGGGCTTCTTGAGATGCCACCAGGGCCTCTTGATTTGGAACCAGCGCAAATGGGGGGCCAATGGAGTTGTCTGTGCCCCCAGCATTTGGCCACATGAGACCCCTGTTTTGAACCCCTAGTTTGGTCCAAATTTGATCTTATTGATTGACTGATTGATTGACTGAGTGATTGATTGAGTGATTGATTGATTGATTGAGTGAGTGAGTGAGTGAGTGAGTGAGTGATGATTGGGTGAGTGAGTGAAAAGAGTGAGTGAGTGGGTGATTAAGTTGATTGATTAAGAGAACTGATTGATTGACCGATTGATGGATCGAATTTGATTGATGGAATTGAACTTAACTGATTGAATTGAAATAAAAGGAGCGGGTTATAAAATTGATTGATTCAAATGATTGGATTGTTCAATTTGAAATCTTGACTCGTACCGCTCTGGTCGAATTACTTAATACTGTTATAAATGCGCTGACAAACCACTCGCCATAACTAGACAAGCAGCAATCGCACGCAGCACGGTTCTCTTCCCCTTGAAAATTTCCTCTCTGCGACCTTTCTTCCCTGCTCACCTCACCCGCTCTCAGTTCTCAACCTCAGTCCAATCACTACCTCCCACGCCGACATCCCCCCTTCCCAATGCCGTGTCATTACCTTCCCGATGGAGGATGCGTCATCATCTCCCTGATCACGTGTCATCATCTCCCTGATTACGTGTCATCAGTGCCACCGACGACGTGTCACCAACCAACCTGCTGTTCCTCGTGACATGTCACCATATCCCCGCTGACGTCTCCTCGTCTCCCAAACACTCTATCCTCCGATTTGTCTCGTCTCTCAGACGAGGTATCACCATTTCCCTTCGACTGCGACTCATTATCTTCCCCATCTCTTGTCACCATCAACCTGATGACGTGTCACCATCCACCTGATGACGTGTCACCATCCACCTGATGACGTGTCACCATCCACCTGATGACGTGTCCATGTGATGAAGTGTCACCATCCAACTGATGACGTGTCACCATCCACCTGATGACGTGTCACCATCAACACGACCTCGTCATTTCCCCGGAGACGAGCGACCATCTCCCGTTGACACGTGTCACCAACTCGTTATGGTGACCCGACGACATTTCACCAATTACTCTCGATCACCTGTGACCCCCTTTCCCCGGTGACGTGGCACCATTTCCCGGCGACACCCCTCAGCATCAAACCCCTTGACGTGTCATCACCCCTTTCCTCGATGACGTGTCGCCATCTCCTGGCGACACGTGCACCATGTCCTGGCGGCACGTGGGACCATCTAACGACTTGTCACCTTCTCCCACGATGACGTGTCATTCCCTGTTCTCCCTCCCCTGAATGACGTGGCGTGACGTTCTCCGCACTCTTTTCTTCTGCATGATGAAACTGCGCACCCCTCGAAGAAAAAAATACATCAATAAAAAGAAACAAATTTGTACCCTCCAAAGAAGTATCAATCATTTAAGGTTGACAGATTGACTGATGGCGGGAAAACCGGATGATTTTTCCTACCATTTTTCCGCCTTGATCGTCCAAGGTCTCAGGCACTCTGTCCTCGATGATTTCTCCACTTCTTTTTTCGCCTTCTACAACAACATTCTTTTCCCTCCCTCTCGATATTTGAGTATCCGTTCTTCCCGCCATCAGCATCCGCTTTTCCCGCCATCAGCATCCGCTTTTCCCGCCATCAGCTTCCGCTCTTTTCCCGCCATCAGCATCCGGTTTTCCCGCCGTCAGAATCCGTTTTTCCCGCCATCAGCATCCGCTTTTCCCGCCGTCAGCTTCCGCTCTTTTCCAGCCATCAGCATCAGAATCCGGTTTCCGCTTTTCCCGCCATCAGCTTCCGCTCTTTTCCCGCCATCAGCATCCGGTTTCCCCGCCATCAGAATCCGTTTGTCCCGCCATCAGCATCCTCTTTTCCCGCCGTCAGCTTCCGCTCTTTTCCAGCCATCAGCATCAGAATCCGGTTTCCCACCATCAGCATCCGCTTTTCCCGCCATCAGCTTCCGCTCTTTTGCCGCCATCAGCATCCGGTTTTCCCGCCATCAGAATCCGTTTTTCCCGCCATCAGCATCCGATTTTCTCGCCATCAGCTTCCTCTCTTTTCCAGCCATAAGCATCAGAATCCGTTTTTCCCGCCATCAGCTTCCGCTCTTTTCCCGCCATCAGCATCCGGTTTTCCCGCCATCAGCATCCGGATTTCCCACCATCAGCTTCCGCTCTTTTCCCGCCATTGGCATCCGTTTTTCCAGCCATCAGCATCCGTTTCTTTCGCAATCAGCATCCGTTTTTCCCGCCACCAGCATCCGTTTTTCCCGCCACCAGCATCCGTTTTTCCCGCGATCAGCATATCCTCTTTTACCGCGATCAGCATCCACTTCTCCCGCCATAACGCACCATCCCCCTTGCACTTAACCTCTCCCTCGTCTCCTCCATGTCATTCCCCTCCATGCCAAAAGAACTCTTCTTCCCCCTAAAGGAAATCGCAACCAATCTTCCAAATCAGTTCATTTAATTGATAACCCAATCAATCAATCGCTAAATCCAATTAATGGATCATCCAATCAATCAATCGATAAATCCAATCAATGGATCACCCGATCAACTGATAAATCCAATCAATGGATCAGCCAATCAATTGATAAATTCAATCAATCGATCACACAATCAATTAATTGATGAAATCCAATCAATCGATCACACAATCAATTGATGAAATCCAATCAATCGCCAATCCAATCGATCTACGATCCAATCAGTCACGCAACCAATCAATGAAATCAATCAGCCTGCAAGAGAGGGTATCATTTATCACAACCCTAAGAGGAACTGATTCATCGCCATCTCATCATCTTCCGACTCATCTTGATCATAATGATCGTCCTCCTCTTCTCCACGGATTCTTCTACGATATTTCCTTCCTCTGCGTTTTTCCATCATCACCACCGCGCCATGCTTTTCTCTCCTGAAATCGTCCATGTTAATCCATCATCCCCTACACGATCATATCCCCACTCCCCCCAAGTCAATGTCCGCACTTGTATCTGCAAAATCGCCACGCCATACACTCCTTCAAGATATAACTCATCAATCAATCAATCAATTAATCAATCAACCAATCAATCAATCAATCAATCAATCAATCAACCAATCAATCAGTCAGTCAATCAACCAATCAATCAATCAAGAAACATGCACAGGAGCAGCATTGCTACTAAAGCCTGCAAATCGTCACTCCATGCACTCCTCTAAGATAACTCGTTAATCATTCATCGATCCATCACCCAATCAATCAACCAATCAATCAATCAATCAGTAAACATGCAAAGGAGCATTACTACTTAAGCCTGACATCTTTCTTTCCACCACATCAAAGCAGAGCAATGAGGACGAGACACGTGGACAACGATCCACCTTAGACTCACCTCCTTACATTTCCCTAAAAAGGAATGTCATGGAATAGATTCACAGACACATACATGATCGCCGACATTCTCCCACGAACGCCCTCGCGCCGACACGTGGCGATCAGGGAGGAGACTTCCATGAACGAACGTGCATATTTTTTTGGGACCTCTTCCTACCGACCCGACATCCCCTGTTGCCATCATCATCTCCTTCCTTCCCTCTCTCCCCTATCACTTACCCAGCGAAACCATAACCAGCTCACGCGAAAGCATAGCCAACTCACCTCCTTCCTCCTCTCCCTTTTCCAGCCATAACGATAAGGGGGAGACCTTGCAGAGACCCTCCAGAACCGAGGTCGGCCGAACAGAGAAGAAGGAAGAAAGAGCTGGGGTGGAGGGGGTAGAAAGGCCCCCACGGGGAGGGGGGCGGGGGGGGGGGGGGGGGGGGGGAGGGGGGGGGGGGGGGGGGGGGGGGGGGGGGGGGGGGGGGGGAGGGAGGGAAGAAGAGAGGAAGGGAGATGGGAGAGAAAGGTGGGTCAGGGGAGAGGGAGGAGGAAGAGAAAACATGGGTGAGAAAGGGGTTATGATTGGCGGAGGGGTTTAACGTGGATTTTAGTGTAAGGATAGGAAGGGAGGGAGGTGGTGGGAAGGGGGGGAGGGGGACGGGGGGGGTGAAGTAAGGAAGAGGAAGAGAGGGAGAAGAGAAGAGGAAGAACAAGAAGAAGAAGAAGAAGGAGAAGAGGGAGAGTGTGTGACAGAGGGGAGAGTGTGTGACAGAGTGTGCGGGGAGTGAAAGGTCCATGTTCTACTACTTATTCGAGAGCGCAAGTCCCTCCCAATGCCTTCAACTTCTCGACAATCTCGTTCGCTTCGTCCTTGTTGACTCCCTTCTTGATTACTATAGGCGCCTTTTCTACAAGCTCTTTGGCTTCCTTGAGGCCCAGGGAAGTGAATGACCGCACTTCCTTAATGATCTTGATCTTGGATTCTGCAGCGAACTTCTCCAATTTCACATCGAATTCGGTCTTCTCGACCGGTTTTTCTTCCGCCGCCGCCGCCGCCCCGCCCGCCGCCCCCCCCGGCATCATCCCCCCGCCCATCGGCATCATCATGCCCATCGGCGGCATGGCGGGAATATTGAGCTTCTCTCTGAGGAGATCTGTCAGCTGCGATACCTCCAACAAGGTCAGCTTCGAGATCTCATCAACCAGCTTCACTATCTTGGCAGATGGCGGCGATGGCCGCTCCGTTGGATCGTCATGCAACGGCGAGACGCTGGCCGCCGACGCCGCCGCCGCCGTCGAATCGCGCTTCGCCGACGAGGAATGTATGCGCGCCACGTGTAACGATGATGACCTCAAACAAAAGAACCGCGATGGCGACGAAGAACAAGAAGAGAACGCCATGGCCGTAGAGCAAGAAGATGAAGTGGAAGAAGAAGAAGAAGGAGAAGACGGAGAAGAAGAAGAAGAAGAAGAATAAGAAGGGCGCTTAATCGTTGTCATCATCGGCGAAGGAGGACGAGAAGGAGGAGCGTACTCTCCCATTAAGGACCGAAGGGAGGAGGAAGAAGAAGAGGAAGAAGAAGAAGAAGAAGATAGCGACGGATCCGGGACTCTCGGAAGCCATAGCGATGGCGATGGAGTTCTTCTACACGTCAACACGTTAAACAGTCGGTATCCTTTCACTTGCGGCGTTATCCTCGATGCCCTGGCGATGGCAGTTCCAAGAAGATTCATGTCCGCAGCAGTTGGTCCTTTCAAAACTTCAAAAGCCGTTCGATTGATTACTTCAATCAACAGCAGATTGACCTGCTCGACAGGGAGATGAAGATCTGACAAGGCGTTGCTTTCACCCTTCACCCCTCTCAAGGATGTGGTCGAGGCCAACTTCTGATGACCCCTGTTGTTTCGACGGCCGAGGTAATCATGAAGAGCAGAGAAGAGTGGGGAAGGGGGAAGGGGGAAAGGGGAAGGGGGAAGGGGGATGGAGGGGGAAGGGAGGACGCGGTGGAGGGGAAAGGTTAGGGCAAGTTACGTGAAGATGACATGCCCGCGCACTGTATGCCGATCTCTAATCACCGACGAGAAACAATTGGCGATGCCAATACCACGAAAAACAGGGAACCGACAGAAGAGGTGGCCGTAGCAAGCGGTAGTCAGGGGTGATTAGCTGACGTGGACATGTGGAAGCTTGAAACACACATTATTAGGGTTTTGTTAGGGTATTTGGCAGCCCGTCAGGGTTCCGTTTCGTGTCCTAGAGACTTTCAACGTCAATTCAACTTTCCACGTCGGTCCGAGAGGGTGGGCAATTTTGAGGTGAGGGCTTAGCAAGGGGCTTAGCAAGGGGCTTAGCAAGGGGCAGGGCATGCGAAAGACCGGTAGCTGCCCCTAGGAGGCCGAGGAGGCCGGTACTTGCGTTTGGAACAAACATTTGGAAATCGAAACGCTGAGGGTCCACTTTTCTCGAATAGAAGAGCACTTCGAATAGAACACATACACATACGGGTTCTTATCGAATACAACGTGCACCGTTTCTGGAATAGGTAGGTAGTGAACGGCGAAATTGAGAGAAGAATATAGCTTAGTCAAAAAAGGTGAAACTGAGAGAAGAATAAAGCTTAAGGTGAAACTGAGAGAAGAATAAAGCTTAGTTGTTGTTGTTTTTTTTCAAAAGGGAATTTTTTTACATAAACCTCTTACTTCCATTTATTTGCGGTATGCCCCTCTGGCGGCCGACTTACCTTGCCAACCCCCTCTGACAACGATTCAAGTTTCGAAACCCCTCCTGGCGTCGTTTGGGCCTGAAATATGTTCGATATGCCCCTACCGATACCGATTCCAAATTTCCAGTATGCCCCAGTAGCTCCCCTCCCACGGCCAGGGGAACGACCACGAGTGTCACACCAACGACCACAGGGGCATGATGGAAAGTTGCACCACTCGCTAGCAGGGGTCTGCACGAAGCTTCAGAGGCCCCAGGGGCACGACTCGGACAAGGTAAGTCAGTCGTCAGAGGGGCATACCGCAAAGAAATGGAAGTCAAAGTGGTATTTCAAAAAAATTCCCCATAAAAAAAGGAAAAATAGTGGTACGGAAAACGTAAAGTTTTTGGTCGTGCCAAATTGTTTAGAGAATAGCGGCACACCTAAGCTATTTTGAATAGTTGAGAAAAGAAAAAAACAATGAAAGACCACTCCTATGTTGTTCATACGGTAATGTGGCAACACTGCGAGCTCCAGAGCTTTGATACCAAAGTTATCGAAAATATCAGAGTGTGAAAACATTCATGAAAAGTATAAGAAACCCTGTGAGTAGCAAATTAGTATTCACTAGGATCACTGGTGGAAAGCGCCCCTACGAAAACCTTTTTGTTTTTTCGTCCAAAAACCTTTCCAGTTTTGCAGTTTGGCAAGACATGACTATCGACAAATAAATCTAACACAGATAATATGTCAGGTTCATGATCTAGTACTGGAGAGGTCATACAGTCGGGATTCAATCTTAACCTTCAAATTCATACCGGCCTTCATACAATAGAAAATTCCCACGAAAAATGGAAGTTGAAAAAATATTTCATAAAAAAAAATCATTCATATTCATAAATTATCATTCGAATGTTCTAAAATTTATAATGTAATTTTACTATACAATGGAAAAATTTTCAAGAATTAAATAATCATTCTGTAGTAAAATAACAATTTAAATTTCAAATTTGCATTCCATCTTAAAAAATATCATTCCAATTTTAAAATTTTTCATCTTACTTGTAAACTTTAATTCGAAGAATATGGTATCCCTTCTTATTTTGACTGCGTGCTAAAGATGGAATGAAAGTCTGGATTAGTTTATTAAATATTTTACTTGGACTGTCATTCAGTGTAAGGATTTTCAGTCATAAAAATATTAATCCAATCTAAATTATAAGATATTTATTGTAGTAGAATAAAAATTTAATTAAAACATTTTCTAAACATGTCCAGACTTTCATTCCATCTTGAACAAATAAATGTAGTTGGAAGGGAAAACTCATATTCAGACGGAAACTAATCAAATAAAACTTGAAATTTAGAATTGGACGAACATTGAAATTATAATTTACAAATATGAAGGATTTTTTCTTTTAATGTTTTTTTTAACTTTTATTTTCTCGTTGAAATTTGTCTGTTGTAAAATTGTTATTTAATTATAGGAAAATTTTCTATTGTATTTTTATATCTAACTTGAATGGCATATGCTACCTCTAAGTTTTTTTTGTCAAACGGAAAACGTTTTAGTGCACAAAACCGAAAAACTTTTAATGTGGATCCTTTCAACGAATTATCCTTATTCATTACTATACTATGACACTATTGTCTTAACCCTAGAAAAAAAGTACGTACGTTATATTCAACTTACCTTTAAAAAATGAGTTTTTTTAAATCGCTGATTTTTTTTCGATTATAACGTACGGTCGAATATAACGTACGTACGTTGTATTCAAATAATTGTTAATTTCAAATTTTTGAAATAATATGAAGGTACGAAAAAAAAAATTTATACAACATTCCAATGCAACACAACTTTTGCATGAGGGTATATCAAAATTCACAATCGAGTGTGAGAAAATAATAAAACAATTATAAATATATATTTTGAGGGCATTTTACAATGGTTTATGATTTCTTCATAATTTTGATTTAAAAAAAGAATCCAAAAAAATCTGGAAAAAAAACCTGTATTGTACAAAATTGCAATAGAAACAAGTTTTGTCGAAGGGTATTCGATAAATTACCAATAAAATCCGATAAAAATATAAAAACAAAACGATGTTTAGTACTACAAGTTTCTTCAAAGTCATACCCTAAAGCTCGTTGTATTTGTATATAACGTACGGACATGTTTTTCGGTTTACGACAATGGGGCCTCGCCCCCCCCAAAAAAAAAATCAAAAATACTAAGGGTTTTGCCATATCACCGTCAAAATGAGAAAAAGTACACGTGCATCTTCCTAAAGAGAATGTCGAGATGCATCCATTATTATGAATAACAACCGATACATCTTACCACTTTTTGTGGAAGTAAAAAATGCATTAATTTGTTTTTTGTTTTGACAAAAGTGTGGCAATGCCCTAAGGTTAATTACCATGCTTCGTTGTCGTATGCGAAAGTCAGGGGTATTGACAGTAATTCAAAACCCCGGAACTTGAACCACTTTGGAACTAGGGCAAGAGTAAAATGGATAGAATAAGGGGGCAAATTGAAGTGGCTGTGAGACACCCCTTAGTTGCGGTCTAATTCATTGGATGAGATCCTCATCGGTCATTATAATGTGTGTTGTTGTCACTCAACTTCGTTAGAGACTGCTGCTATAATGACCAATATTTTTGCCCATGCATCCATAGTGGGTATGACTCATGCAACCATATTGTCTGCAACTTCTGCCTTCGCAGCCATAGTGACCATAATTCTTGTTGGAGGTCGACTGATGTTGAATTGCACTCCAATGAAACTCTATATACTTAGGCCTATATCCAAAGTTATTTGGTTAACTGCCTTTTTGGTCTGTGAGACTAGGTTGTTGCCGTAATCTCACTGGTTGTATATTAATTTCAGACGCCACCGTCGTTGGTACTATTTTGGAAAGTCCGTCAGCTGGGGTATACTCAACCATCATCTATACATTCTATCATTCTACATTTTAAGGGTTTTGGATTCGCATCGACAGGATCACTCTCTTGTTGAGGTTAAGGTTGGTCGTACAAAGCCACGTAAGTCAACACAAATTCTCCTACTAGAGAAAATCTATATTATCTCTTTGTTAAAATTGGTCGTTGGACAAGTTTATCTGCGATAAAACGAATAGACTGTTGTTCGTCGCTATACAATATATCTCTATTGTTCTGTGACCGAGCCTAAAAAAAATTTCACCAACAGACAATAAACTTAAAAGTATGAGAGGTTGTGTGATCGACATTGAACCACAAAGTGTTGCGAGGGAAAACCTAGTAACACGCCTTACAACAGAAAAAATTTCCAGAATTAAATAATCATTTTATAATAAAATTACATTCTAAATTTAAAATTTTCATTCCAACTTAAAAAATGTCATTCCAATTTTAAAATTTTTCGTCTTACTTGAAAACTTTCCTTCCAAGAATGGGGTATCCCTTCTTATTTGAACTGCATGCTAGAGATGGAATGAAAATTTGGACAAGTTCATAAAATATTTTTATTGAATTGTCATTCTGAGTAAGGATTTTCGGTCATAAATAGCTTAATCCAATCCAAATTAGAAGATATTTGTTATAATAGAATGAAAATTGAGATAAAAAATTTCATAAACTCGTCAAGACTTTTATTCCATCTTAAACAAATAGATGTACTTGGAAAGGAACACTCAAATTTGAACTGAAACTTGTTAAATAAAATTGAAAATTTTAGAATTGAACGAACATTGCAATTATAATTTATAAATATGAAGGATTTTTTTTTATGGAATGTTGTTTCAACTTTCATTTCTTATGGAAATTTTTCCGTTCTAGGCAACCCTAGAGCATCGCATCATGCCGTATGGACCAAATTTTATGTGAGTTGAGCAAGCATCGTAAGGCGGTTCAATTAAGACATCTATTGTTGCAAACATACTTTGATAAACTCAAATGAATCAAGACCTATTCATATTGATTGTGCTCGTCAACACTGATTTTGTTTACTTAATAGAAAAAAATAATTTTGTATTCAATTGGGGATTTTGTTGAGTCAATCGATCATTAGAGACAATGCGACCTGATAAGGAGTTAAGCGCCCTGAGCGATGTTTATAAATCAACATATGGATCGAGCATATCACATTTTGTTTTCTTTATGTTCCCTCGACTAAAGTAACACCCTATGATAGTCCATTTCTGGTGAGACATGTAAAAGTTGCCACAAATAGGTAGCTCGGTAGGACATACTCATCTAAGGATGATGAAAACTCCTCATATTTAGGTGAGTTATAAATTGTGACATCTTGTTTTATCTCAAGGATTCATGAGAGGTATGATTGGAGAACTTAGCTAAAGTGACACGCTCGCTCCTCACA